CAAACAATAAATTAATTGCAATTTTATTTCATGGTAACAACACAGTTTCTTAATAAAACGATGCTTCACCCCAGCATTATTGTAACTGTCAGGATCGGCAATAAAAGCCCTTTTGGAATGTCGTCAGTTAAGATGATAATAAGGTTATGATAGATTTTATTTATTTATTTAATTTTCAAGTAGTTATTTTTGTGAGAAAGATCGATAAACTTAGCTCGCCGTTAGGCGTAAGCAGCCGGAGAATATTTTGGTTACTGGAGGGTTTTATGTGAGAATTTCGAGCTGGGCTATGGCCAGGGTGACCATTTATTGCTTTCAAAGTTAAGATCGACTGAGAGGCCATGCGAGTTCTTCATGTAAATTATGAAGTTTTACTTCATACGCTGTCGTTGTTTGGGCAATATCATGACATCTTAGGCAAAATGAAGCTTCACCCTTTGTGCCGTGACATCAGCATACACAATCTCCACACTTTTATCTGTAAAATTCCCTAAGTACTCATATGATGTACTGCCATATGACAAAATATTTTCAGGCCCTATTTTCAGGCCCTTATTTACATCTAATTGCAATTGTATCTTTCTATGTTGCTTAGCGCCGGGTTGAAGTATTATCAACAGGAGTATGTTGATCGAATCAAAGAGCACGTACATCGCGAAGAAATTTAGCTTGTGAGCCCAACTTTCTAGTTTCACACTAATTCTTGAAAATGTGTATTTTTTTTTGCCATGGAACGAAAAAGACTAGCTCAAAATGAAAACTTTCCAAAGGATATTTCGTAAAACTTCAATCACTAACTATTTACATCTGTAGTTAACTGCTTAAGTGGCTTTCTCTACGATGTGCACTACATAATTGCAGTAATCAGCCGATGAAATAACGATGAAACTGAGCTAGTTCTAAACGCGTTAGGTTTGCTCACAGACGAACAAAATAAAGGAATCGTACGTGTTAATCCTTCATTCTAACACACTCTCATTAAAACGCTCGACTAACTTTTCCTCTCTATTATTCCAGTTTCTAATCACACATTTGATCAGGGAGACTATTATGTTGTATTTAAAACAAAACAAGTTTAAATCCAATGTTTATCGGGACATGAACCGTGTAAAACTCTACATTGAGGTGAGCAATGCGGAAAAAGTCTATTCAGAATATTAACGACGAGTGTAAACAATAACAAGTTTGTCTGGTATTGCTGTTTACCTTTTGGCTTCAAGATGAACTTGAAACTAGGAATACTACTCTCTGTAATCTTCCCACTTTTGGCATTCTCAGCAAATGGAATCGAATTCGAAGGTAATATAAAATGAAAGTATTGCTGATTATCAGGGCTGTGGCTAGCATGAGGCAAGACGAGGCAATTGCCTCGTCTTGATTTTGGCCCAAGATTGACTCCGTTTGTGAAGAAAAATTCCACGCAATTCGTGCCTTCGACCTTCGGCGCTCGAAACTTGCCTCGTCTTGTTCTGAAGTCTGGCTACGGCCCTGATAATTTGTCTCCTCCTTGACATCTCTCAGCAATGGACTCATTGCGCCGCAGACGAAGTCTGCAAAATTACCTTCACATTTACGAAAAATGTGCTAATATGCGAGAAATCTCTTAAAACTTCACAAGAATACTGGTCTTCGAAAACGCTTAATTCTCGACTGGAATCCTGGTCGCGATCAATGATAGGCTGATAGCTTTTCTTTTTCATTTCCTTTGTGGCCGAAATCAGCTGTAATCTACCGCTCGTTCATCAAGTTGCGCTACTTGAATGCCAAGGAAGACAATACATTTCTGATTCATAGAGAGCACTCCTTAGTTCTCAATATTATCAGTGGAGGGCATGGTAAAAAATATCGAAGAATGTGCACTCCAATTTTGAAACAATACAGTAACTTGTCATCTTTTTTTACTTGAAATGTTGAATTTATTAGGGTTCGCTTTGAGGTTCCACCTTCTTTAACTTTCCTTCACCTACACGTCCTCCATAACCTTAAGAAATTTTAATTTTGAATGACTCATTAGTCAAATATTTTTATTTTCTGTGAGGAACAAAAGACACGGCTTTTCAATTGGCAGCTATGGCGTAAGTCTCAAGCAATAGAATGTTCTGCTTAACCCGGAAAATTCGGTTCAGTGACGTTTTGATCCGCTTTTAATTAACATGTTTTTATATATATGCTGGATATTTCTATCGCTTAATAAGAGAGCTTCGTTTCGTTCCGCAAACTCGGCCCTTAAAATATTTGTCATTTTCAAGTTTTCAGAGATTTTTATTATTTTATTCTGTCGTTTATTACTTTGTAGATTTGCTAAAAACAGGAAATAGGGCTTTAGTGCGGAACAAAACATTCATTAGTCTATGATTTGATCGTTTATTAACATTATCGCACAGTTCACAATGAGGAAACTGTAACAGGAGGGGAGATTTTAAAGTCACATGTCGCGTGCTTGTTGAAGTTTTCCAAATGGCTTCGGGGATAGTAAAGTTATAAAATGGCCCTTGCAGAAGTGTTCTTGGACTGATGGCTAATTAACATAGTAAAAAGATAATAAAGTGCGCAAGCCATTCACTGTACTTAATTATAACTAGGGGTTCTCTGACGCGACTTATCTTAATTCTATAACACTTTGTGTTTCAGTAAATACAAAAGATTAACGATTGGCTAAGTTATTTGAACGTAGGTGCTAGAATGACAATTTGTTCCTGTTCTAACCAAAGAAGGTCACTGCAATTTTAAAGGTCATTAAACGCAAAACGGCGGCATAGAGTATTTAGCACCTGAGCCTTGGAGGCAAGTCTTTTCTTCCGCTT